TCTCCTCAGTTTCCCGAGCTCAGCACTGAAGCACTCTTTATTGCCTTGGGGGCTCTCACTCTCTGAAAATATTCTTCATTCTATCTAATAATTTTATTTATTTTCTTTAGGCTCTAGACAAGGGGCTGAAAGCCAAAACTATATTCGTCGTTACACCGGGATCAGAACAAGTGCGTGCTACTATTGAGAGGGATGGTCTTACGAAAATCTTCGAAGACTTTGGAGGGACCGTTCTGGCGAACGCTTGTGGCCCTTGCATCGGTCAGTTCCGCTAGCTTAATTTTAATGTAAACCTTACCGATAGAAACGTTTAGATTTTACAAAACAAGGTATTTTATGACTGAGTTTTTATATGGTTTTGCATATATTTCTAGTAGTAAACTAACTACAAGAACGAGGTTCAGTTTCATTGAATGCTTTTAGAAATGCCAGAGAAACAAAATCCAGTAGCACATCTTTCACAACGTGATGCATAGCATATCAAATGGGACGCTAGCAAACTAGACTACCCTTGACATCTAATCAGACGTGGTGATCAAGGGGGCTAATCATAGGAATATGGGAACCAGGGTCAAGCGTGCGTTGAGGAATCCTCGACATGTCACAGAGGGGGGGGGTCGTATTGGCCCGCTGGGGAGAGATCGGGCCCGATTGATACAGTAGGATCATCGTCGGAGGACAAACATTAAGGATCGAATCGATACCAGGCCAGAGTATTTCCAATAACAATTGATTCCGTCCACACAAAATCTTCGTGATTTAGAGGTGTCCGCTTAGCAATTCTTAGTGACTTTAGTGTTTCATCACCACACAAGTCAAAGGATCCGAAATTCGCACGTTTTCTAGGGATATTTTATCTTTCAATAGGTTCCTCAAATCCATACATTGACACACGGCTCTCCCCAGTGGGCCAGATGGTTTTGCGCGCAGTTCTTCAGCTACGGCATTATTCTTGTAACGTTCCTTAATTGAAAAAGAATAAGAGGGTTCTGAAAAGTTCGTTTAATACAGGAAGTACAAGTATAACAACAAGAACGCAGCCTTCAGCGTCAAATTCACAAGCATGTAACCTTTTGAGGACCCGCTAAACAATTTTACACTTTTTGCAGAGAGAAAAGCACGAGGATTTTGAATCTGCTCCTACTTCAGTATGTAATCGCTCCTGCAAGGAGCTATAGTCGTTGGGATAGTGCTAATGTAGCGAAAAAGTACCTTTCGGCGGTACTCGGGCAAAAATCCTCAACGTGGCCATTTTTTAAATAGTGAACGTATTTAGCAGTTTTAGTTGCCTCTAGAAAGAGCAAATCTTCTAGTTTATGATGACGTATTAACTTTCCAGATTGCATGAGTTTGAACGGAGTTATGGCTTTGGAAAGCGTAAAAACTCGCACTCATCACGAATTTTCCTCGTTAATTTTGCAAAAATCCTCAACGTGGCCATTTTTTGAGTACTGGACGTATGAAGCTGCTTTAGCGACCGTTTGATAGAGAAAATCTTCTAGTTTTGTATGACGTATCAACTTTTTGAATTTGACGGAAATGAAGCAAGTTATTGCTCCGGAAAGTGTAAAAACTCGTGCTCGTCTCGAATTTTCCTCGTTATTTGATCTAAATTTGTTATTTCTTATAACTTCCTGTAATTTCAGTACTGATTAGAAAGCTCTTCACAAAACTCCCAAATCAGCTTTCAGATTGAAAATTCGTTAACTTTGAAGAAAGTTATAATCATTTGAATATTTGTTCAAATTTCAATAGTAAATAAGCTGCTCCACGGTCAACGCCAAAGTCCAGTCAACACACAGCTGGCGAAGGCTTTTACAAGGCTTCCTTTGAGCGAAAGGGGGACGTGTAAATTGAGAACCATAATCTGTGTAGTACTAGAATTTGGTAAGTCTTGTGGAGGAAATAAACAAAGAAGAGGTGTTGTCATAGTACGCCATTTCTAGTGACTAGTTTGACGTTTTTTGCTCCGTTTCTCGTTTGCTCGTTTGACAGGACTCGTCATTAATGATCATTCTTTGACTTTTTCACTTTTATACTTTTTAAACGAGTTTTTTGTGGACGATGGGGTAGCAGGGCTTTTTTATGAGCAGTTTTGGTGGAGAACTTTTTCATAGTTCGGCTTTTAAAGAGGGTTGTTTCATGGACTTCGGCCTTCGGCAGAGGGAGGGGGGGGTCGTATTTCCGAATTTTCCTCGACGCCTCGCTTGACCTATTATTATACGACGCGAATTAACCAAAGATCAATCACGAGGTTACCTTGTTCATTTGAGAAGTACTGAATAACAAGAACAAATGAGAAACGGACGAGAAGTTGAAAAAGGTTGCACAAAACAGCTGAAAGAGTATGATTGCAGCCAATTCTTTAACTACTCATCAGGAAAGGCTTTACCTTCCATGAACTTTGGATGCGACCCACGTAGGTAGGTTCAAACACTGATACAACATCTGACTAAAACTGCAATGAACCTGCTTACGAAGTTGTGAGCAGTAAAGTTGGCTCCAAGTTAAGCGTTACGTGATGCCCGTGCTAGCCTCCGAGCTTTCACAGTCGCCGTGGAGTAATGGGGGCCTCAAAATTTGCACTGCAGCAGGAAGAGAAGAGGAAGAGAGACACCCCCCCCCCGGTGCATAAGAGCTCTATTATTCGCTACTCCACGGCGATCAGCTTGGGAACTGTAAAATACTAGGTTTATATGTCAGCTTACTTTGTCCAGTTATTTTTGGTTTTTTTTTTTTTTTGACTGCTCACAACTACTGTGCAGTCCTTCATGATTTATATTCCGTATTGCGTGAGGGGTTTGAGCCTGTCGATATACATGGAGTGGGTTAATCAAGTCATGAAATGAATACCTTCCCAGTTAAAGGACTGTTTACATATGAACCGTGCTATTCTCCGAGCTTTCACAGTCGCCGTGGAGTAATGGGGTGCTCTCAAAATTTGCACTCCAACAGGAAGAGAGAGGAAGAGAGACCTCCCGGGTGGAGAGCGAGGGCACTATCGCTACTCCACGGCGACATGAAAGCCCATAGCACGGTTCATATGTAACGCTTTACTTTAGCCAACTTTGACTGCTCACAACTTCCTTGGCAGGTTCATTTTGCAGTTTTAGTTTCCATATTTGTAATCAGCGTTTGAAGCTCTATCGATATATCTGGGTCTCAATCAAAGTTCCATGGGAAGTTGAATGCCTTCCCTGGTTAAAGGAGCTGGTCAGGAAAGAAAGACTATTGGACTGGTGAGGCGCAGATACCACATTTGCCGCGTTCATCTTCCAGCAAAACGTCCTTTGAACTACTTTTTACTGGAGAGGCAACGAGGCACCTGCGACTTCTCACTCCCCGTGGTCTTTTTTTATTACTCTGATTAGCTTCAAATTAGCTATAGAAGCTATCTCTAAGTCCCACTTTAAATGGGTACTATTAATGTTGCTATGGAGAACGTGGTAGAACAAGGGGATTTCTTTATGTTACTTGGAGCAACGAACCCCAAGACTAAATAATAATTGATGTATAGGGCAGTGGGATCGTCAAGATGTGAAGATGGGAGAGAAGAACACCATTGTCACTTCGTACAACCGAAATTTCACTGGACGAAACGACGCGAATCCTGCCACACACAGCTTCCTCACATCCCCTGACACCGTTGTTGGTTTAGCGATCAATGGAAGACTCGATTTCAACCCTCTCAAGGACGAACTTACGGCATCTGACGGTGCGTTCAAATTTTCCCTCTTGACTTCATACCATGGCTACATTTTGACAAATGCAGGGTCGAAGTTTGTGCTCAATCCGCCAAAAGGAGACTTCATCCCGAAAAATGGATTCGACCCCGGTGTGGACACTTATCAAGCACCTACACAATCCGGAGAGGTGGGGGAGAGTCTCTTTTTTCCAATTTTGTTCGACTACTTCCTGATTCTTCAGGTCTCGGTCGATCCTAAATCGGACCGTCTTCAACTTCTACAACCATTCGACAAATGGGACGGTAAAGACTTGGAGGACATGGTTATTCTGATTAAAGTCAAGGGGAAATGTACGACTGATCACATCTCTGCTGCTGGGCCCTGGCTGAAGTATCGAGGACATCTGGACAATATTTCCAACAACATGTTCTTGACAGCGATGAACGCCGAGAACGGAGAAATGAATAAGGTAGCTCACTCATTGAGACAACTGTAATACGTACATGAAGCAGTTGCTGCGTCAGCGGAAAAGATATAATACACCCCTTGAATTCTGCTCACTTCAAAACCCACTTCAAAATAAGCAATTAGGGAGCCCATCGAGGAAGCATGTACACCGCACGAATCAGTTTCTTGGTTGCCAGTGAACCGAGATGTGGTGCTCTCATAACCTAAGGTGCGCTGGTTGCTGAGCAGGACTTCGAAAGCGCTCCGCCCTCAAAAGCGATCCGCCCACTGGACTTGTTGATTTGGACGAGCTCCGTGCCAGCAGCGATGCGCAAAAGGAGCATCTCGATCAAAGCGTTGTTTGGTTATGGTGCCATCAAAGCATTGCGGTGAACTCGTTCATACGTCCACTTTCTGAGCTGTTACCTGTTCATGAGTGAGAACCAACGGCCAGAAAAGGGGTCCCGTTTTGCGTTTTCTTGACGGAATTTTCTGCTTTTTTCGCTACCGGCGTACCATTGAAGCACCACCGCGTCACACACCAAACCCTTCTGAATCGTGTCGTTAAGCGGGCGCTATGAGGTCAAAATGGACACATCATGTGTAGTGAAGTTGCGCCTACACAGTGACTGTTATATTGAATATGAGAAGAGGAAGGTTTTGCTCCTGGTATAGGGCAAAGATCGCGTCAAGTAAACTACCGCGGCCATGACTACTGTAGCGGAAATCTCGTTACGGCCCCCTTCCCCTGACCCGTTCATCACAATTCTTCTCCTCCTTTGGTCAGTGATATAAGTATGTAGTGTTGAACCCTTTTCTACCTGACACGCTCCATCTCCTTCTGCTCCCCTCCCCCTCACTCCCTCCCCGTCTACTCTTTCAAGATGTAGAGGGAATTGTCGTTTAGAATTAGATGGTCATGTTTGTGAACAAATTTCTTGCAAAAACTGTCGGTGAGTGAGGGGGAGGAATGTGCGGGGATCAGGCGGAGAAGAGATATATGTTAGCGGAAAAGGGGAATATCAAGTTTCACGCCGCTATCTTACTCCCCTAATCGCGCCAAGACAAATACGCCCCTCCCCCATCAAAAAGTTCTCCACCATGACTCGCCTTGATGCGTTCGGGGTGATCTGCCTTTCTTTCACAGAGCTTCAATAGATCTGGGGCTATGTAAAGGTTTAAGGTTCGCAACCACCTCACGGACACATTCGGCACTGTTCCGGAAACAGCTCGCTATTATAAAGCACATGGAAAGAACTGGGTGGTAATTGGAGATGAGAACTATGGAGAAGGATCAAGTCGTGAGCATGCCGCCCTCGAGCCGCGACACCTCGGAGGAAGAGCTATCATCACCAAATCCTTTGCCGCCAGAATTCACGGTATGTTTCTTGACTAATTCACGTCACACTGGAAAAGGCTATCAACTCTCCATTGGACTTTGGAAGCGAGACCTGGGTAAAATAATAGCTGGGGGCAAAAATGATTGGCCTACAATAAAGGTCCAGAACTGGCCACACAGACTTATCTATCAAATTCTGGGCGCCCCCTTCACAATTGGGAAAATGCAGCGAGTGAATAGACGAGCTAAAATCTATCCTCGTCGGCATTTTTGTTTTCTCTAAAACTTCCTTCGCAGAGGTATGTAGGTGGCTTGATCACGAATATGATACTCATTTTCGTCAGAGGCCATCTGATGCCAGGTTGACGTTGCATTTTCTTTTTGTGCGCTTGCTACTAACATTGACTGCTCACATCTTGCTTGAAAAGTTCATGTAGCACCGTTCTGGTCACCATATTTGTAACCATCATTCCTGAGTCAATCTATTTACCTGGGTTTTCACATAAAGTTCTACGGAAAGTTGAAAGCCTTCCCTCATCAACCATTCAAAGGAAAATATGAGATATTATAGAGACAAATTTGAAGAAGCAAGGAATGCTCCCACTCACCTTTGCGAACCTGAGATGACTATGATAAAATAGATTCCGGCGACAGAAGTTTCGATAATTGGCTTGAAGGGCTTTACTCCAGGCGAACCACTGAAGGCCATAATCAAAAAGCCGGATGGCTCCAAGGTTTGTGCCAAATTTCCACGGCTTTTCATTCTCTTTCCGCCACCTTCAACTGTTGTTGCTTTGTAGGTCGAGATTTCACTCAACCACACTTTCAACGAACAACAAATCGAATGGTTCAAGGCTGGATCTGCTTTGAACAGAATGAAGCAGGCAATTGCTTCAAAGTAAACCAGCTCACTATTTTAGGTATCGCATTTTGTACAGTTACTATCTGTTATATAGCTACCAGCACATTGTATATAGGCTAGCTTTTTTTACTTATCTGTTGATAGTTTCGACGCGTTTCTGAAATGTCATGAATATACTACGTCTTCCCACCAACATTTGACAATTGATTTCATCAGGTCAAGGTTCGGGTCTTTACCTTCTTCAGAGCCTGGTTTTTGAGGTGGTAGCGTGCTAATAATGTATAGCTTGCACGAATAAATAAGCAGAAGATACACCTGCTTGATTTTTGTATGACAGTGGGAAAATTGCTTCAACTGCTGGTACATTCCGTTGACGTATGAAGGGTTCCGCAACAATCACTCACAAAATACCGTTCACAAAAAGGAAATTCGATGACAGCGTTTTGTGCGCCTTGACACGGATTCTTCCACTCTAGCTTCCTTCTTCCATTTTTGGTTAGCCCGTTATTACACGTACTTACATTTTTATTGTGCAATAATATAATGGTGATACACCTTCTCCTTCGAGGATTGCACGAGTTCGAAGCCTCCTTAGTAGTGTTTGGGAACTCGAAAATGAATACCATAAATGGGGAACAGGAAAAATTAAAGTGGTACAAAAGCAAGTCTCATCAATCGAATTACGAAATGTAACCGTGGAAAGTGTGGCTCCAGAGTGAAGCGGTCGAAGAAGCCTCGGCGATGGGGGTCGTATCTGGCCCAATGGGGGGGGGGTGGTCGCAAGTGCCGTCAGCAGTGAACAGAGAATAGATAACCTGTTGGCGAAAGGTTTCCGGAGCGATTAGAGCGATGTGACTCGCGTTGGATGTCGAACGCACGGCGCATCCCTGAGCGATTTCGATCAAGAGTGCATGGCCTTCAATTGTAATTCCATGTGAAATAGATGTGAGCTTGAGAGGTACCAAGAGATTTTCGGAGGAGATTGTATAAAATTGCATATAGGGATCCACAAAATATCAACCACATTTTCTCGCGCCGACTTTGTGAGCATAGGGATATCCTTTTGATTTGAAGACTTTACAATAAATAACTTTCCCTTTACGCGATTTGTCTTTCTACAAACTACGTCGGAAAGGTTCCGATGCACAAGCATTCAGGAATTTTGAAGGCAACAAATCACTGATTTTTTGAAAAGGAGAACGGCATTCAGATTTCCAAAATTGTTCCAATATTTCGCACACAATTCTCTAACAAAAAGCTATGGTTATGGGGGCGTGAGAACGCGACAAGAGTAATCTCTGCGTTACACGACCAAAATTGCTCAACGGGACCGAAATCCATTTTAATGTACTGAATTAATCAAGCAATTCTCGTAATCTTTTGCAAGAGAAAACCTGCAAATATTAGCGCTCAGATCCGTTTTATGATTGGATACATTTGTAAGAAGTTATGACCTGCAGAAGTACACAAACTCGCATGTCCACGCAGTTTTCCTCATTGATCTACCCTCGCCTTCAAATGACCAGAAATTGTGCAATTGCAGAAATTGACGTGGCATTAACGTGGCATCGATTCAAGAACATCTTTGAGCACACGTGATGTCACCTTTTCATCGAGAATTTAGCCACGTGTGCCAATGCCAAATTTCTGCAATTGCACAATTTCTGGTCATTTGAAGGCGAGGGTACCTGAAACAAATTCAGTAACTGCGCTTGACACTGGCGACTTGCACGTCGGCTGGCCCTGGAAGTCGTGTTGAGTGGAATACCGCATTCAATGTCACCACGATACTGAATGGAAGTAGAATGCGTGGCGCATCCCAAAAAATGGATTGACCATGCTTACGCTTCAACGTGATGAGAATAAGAGTTAACACGTTGACGAGCCGCGCGCCGTTGTCTCACACTTCCACTGAGAAGGGACTCGTTTTGCTCATTTCGTGTTCCAAAGCGGTCCATATGCATTGTCAGATACAGAAAAACAATGTATGCTTTACTGTAGTGAAGCCATTGAAGGGCTGACATTACTGGTGAGAAATATGAGAAAGAATCATAAAACACGCATAACCGCGCTCGTCAGGATTGCTTAGCACTTTCGGGGTTACACCTTTCGACGGAAGACGTTTCCACATTAGCGTAAAGGAAACGATCGCCTTGGAGGTGAAGAAGAGTTCCACACGTTGTCTGAGGAGATAGAGGTGGTCAGCGATGCAAAGAATAAAAAAGCAACAAGGAACTTGGCTAAAACCCGAGAAACGTGGCCCCTCTTCCCCCGCTGATTTCCGCATTGATTCGACACATGGCTGCTGCACTCTTATTCGTTAACGCTCACTGCTAAACATTCTAAGTCAGACGGCGGAAGAGTGGGCGGGCAGTGGCGTTAATCGGCCGTTATTCCGTTGCGGGCATACTCTTCGCTGCGGAACGCACACGCTCGCACCTTTACGGATGCCCGCCTGCCTTTCCACTAGGCATATTTCCCGCTCTTCGACCTCTAACCTTTTCGTGGAATCCCATAGACTCCTCAAGGTAAGCAGGATGGAAATGAACCACGAGCGATAACGATAACTTCTGCACGTCAACACGTGCTGGTGCAATCCGTTCCACGCCTGGAACGATGGGTGAGTAAGAGTTCCGGAAGTTCGAAGAGCTCTTTTCCAATGCCTTATCTCGCCACCGATGACGCACCCTACTCCCCTTATAAGAAAAATGAAAACACGACTTCAGAAAAGTCCCTTGAACGCGCAAGAAGGCTGATGAAGAATAATTACAACAAAGATAAATAGAATTTAATTCTCTCGTTTTAAGCAACATAGTACACAGGTACTGAATCAGATCTTATTGAACGCCGCAATGTCGACTGACTGAACGTGGTCCTCAAAGTCACCGGTAATCTTTTCAATCAAGTCATCGACGGACACTTTCAGGTCTTCGATCACACAAATGATCTGCAGCTTCCTGATACCTGAACAGAAAATAGCACTTGCTTGACAAGAACAGCTAAATTCAAAATTCAGATGGCATTGGTGAAACGCTTACCATATCCAATGGGGAGCAGCTTGGCTCCTCCCCAAACAAGTCCGTCCATTTCGATGCCTCGGACCAATTTTTCCATTTCTTCCATGTTTGTCTCATCATCCCATGGTTTCACATCCAGAATGACGGAGGACTTGGCGATTGGACCAGGCTTCGCAGCCTTCTTTTCAGCATAGGCTTTCAGGCGTTCCTGTACAACTTTCTGCTTCTCCACATCTTCCTCGTCATCTGATCCGAACAGGTCCAAATCATCTTCCTGAAAATCAGTTCAATTACGTGACTCTTGAATGATTTCAGTTAGATGATCGCTCGAACCTTCTCCTCATCTCCACCAGCAGAGCCGCCGGCTGATGGCCATGCACTGCGTTCACTCTTGTCGTAACTCGCGATATTTCTGTACCACCGAGCCACATTTGGGTAGGTTTTCGCGCATGGAGCCGATCCGATGGCTTCAAATAGAGTACTGTCCTCGCCAGAATGAACAAATCTGAATCCAAAAGTGTTGAGGAAAAATTAGCAGAAACCATGGATGTAAATATTTTTTAGAAGCGCTACAAATGGGAAATCAAAGCTTAGTTCTCTGGTCGCTTCTTTAAAGCGAAGAGTTTTTCCACTCAAATAAGGTCTGCTCCATAGACTTTGCGAACACGCTTGATCGATACGTATCTACTCAAATTTGATCTGCAAGCCAAGCACAAAGAGAGACCGCATCCTGACGTAAGTCCGGAGGAGGGGAGAGGTCG